CGTGAGCAAGCAACATTCTGCTGAACCTGAATTTACCGCATGGCATAGCATAACTGGAGAAGAAGAATCTGATGGTACTTGGCATGATCAAATCGACCAGGAACGGCCAGGAGAAACACCAGATGATGCAGATGGAGAAGGCCTTGTTCTAGAAGCACTTGAATGGCACGTGAATGATTCTCATGAGACTATCGAGAACTGGGAAAATAGGCCTTCAGATCCACCTAGAGAGCCGCAGCCTATTTCTTCAAGGCGGGTAAACAGGTTCCTTACCCCAGGTGATGATAATGTGTACAGTATGGAGCTCAGGGAACTCTTAAGAAGGTACATTTTTTAAAATGGAAGATTTATTTACATACCGCTCAATTCCTATGCATTTTCTCATCTAACACCAATTCTTTGATTTTTACATGTATATGACCTTACCTATGCATGAAAAGCCGCATTTCATTTTTAAAAAATTAAACTGATGGTATTTTTGATGAGATTTGAAAGATTTGGATGGTATAAATGTAAAAATTAAAGTTCAGGTGCATTTTTTAAAATGGAAGATTTTTTTACACACCAATTCTTCGATTTTAACATGTATATAACCTTACCTATGCATAAAAAGCTGCATTTCATTTTTTAAAAATTAAAATGATCGTCTTTTTTATGAGATTTGAAAGATTTGGATGGTATACATGTAAAAATTAAAGTTTTTCGTGTTAGATATGTAAATACATAGGAATTGGGTGGTAAATGCCCCTTTTAAAATCTGATGCTGTCAGCTTTAAAATCTGATGCTGTCAGCTGCTTTTGCTTCTATGTTTGTCTTCACCTAACTGATTATAGTTATTTGGCAGGAGAAGTGTTTCTACTCTTCTTCGCAGCAGGTTTCGAGAAAATTTAGACCAACTAATTCAATCTTATGTTCAGCGGCAAGGTCATAGTCCTCTTGATTGGGATGAGCAGAGACCCCTGTCTACCCCGGCTTTACCAGAGAGAGAGCAGGGACACCAAAGAGATGCTACTAATCAGGTACCGCTTGACCCTGTTGCTAGGCCTCCAATTCTGCTTCAATCTCCGCCAGGGCCACCTTCACAACAAATGTGGGACCCAAGGCTCCATTATAACAATTGGAATCGACATGGCATGCACCGATCGGAAATTGTGAGCTATTTCTTCTCCACCTTTTTTGATGATTTACATAACTACCCCTTAATTCTTATAAATTTAAATATCTAACACCTAAACTTTAATTTTTGCTTACATGCCACCTTACCTATGCATGAAAAGAGGTATTTCGCTTTTAAAAAGTTAAAATAGTGGGATTTTTGATGTGATATGAAGGTATTTCGCTTTTAAAAAGTTAAAATAGTGGTATTTTTGATGTGATATGAAAGATTTGGGTGATGTTAATGTAAAAAGTATAGTTTTGGTGTTTGATATGTAAATACATAGGAGGCTAATGTAAAATTATAGTTTTGGTGTTTGATATGTAAATACATAGGAGTAGGGTGGCATGTATGTAAATTTCACATGAGGTTTTTTATTTACTATATTATCTTTTCATGTTAAAAAGCTTTATTTGTTATGTTTTACATTAGCTTTTCAGTGAGATCTGTATGATGCACCGACCCCTTGCCTGGAGAGCGCCAGCATTAGTTGTGTTTATTTGTAGGATCTAAAAGCTTATAGTGATCCTTTCTGATTTAGATATTTTACATTCTAAAATTATCATTTGATTTTTTTCCCCTTCATTGTTTGTGTTTTATTATATAAAGATTTACATACATCCCACTCAATTACCATGTATTTACATATATATTGCCTAAACTTTAATTTTTGCATACATGCCACCTTGCCTATATTTCACTTTTAAAAAGTTCAAATGGTGGTATTTTTGATGTAATACATAAGATTTAGATGGTATAAATGCAAAAAGTTAAGTGTGGATATTGGATATGTAAATGCATTTGAATCGGGTGGTCATAATATTAAGGGAGGAACCAACATTATTTTTTAGGGTTGGCAAAATCATAAAATGCCTAATTTTTTTCAAGTATTGGGCCAAAAAATATATCAAGGGTGAGGGTGCGTGCAATTGCCCACCATTGGCATAGCCTCTTCTTTTTTTATGTAATTTTTTTTTCTTGATTTCGCTCCTTGGTGGTATTTATGTAAATGCCCCTTTAGTATATAACTTGGCGTGAAAGTTGAATTTTTTAGTTATTCTCTTGTTTTTTTCACATGGATTATATCTAGTCATATACTATTACTCATTCTGTTTGGCGCTGCAATATTTTTGAACTGGTTCAGGAATGGGATACTATTAATGATTTGAAGGCTGATGTGGCTAGGCTTCAACAAGGGATGAGCCGTATGCAGAGGATGCTTGAGGCTTGCATGGATATGCAACTAGAATTGCAAAGATCGGTTAAGCAAGAAATTTCTGCTGCTTTGAATCGCGGTCAAGGTAAGTTTCAGATTATCTTCAAACTTCATGCTTTTACATTTAAAATGTTGAAATGTCAGTGCTTCTATTGGGAAATTGTAATTTTGTCACTTATTTGGCTTTTATTGATCGCCATCATAACAAAGACTTGATCATGATCCTTTCATGCCCCTGTTTAATTAAAAAAAATTCGAAATTTACATACATACTTCACAGTTCATACGTATTTACATATCTAACACCTAAACTTAAATTTTTACCTAGATCTTCTTATCTATGCACGGAAAGTTTTATTTGACCTTTTAAAGTTAAAAATAGTGTCATATTTTATGTAATATGAAAGATTTGGGTGGTGTAAATATAAAAAGTAAAGTTTAGGTGTTAGATATGTATATACATAGAAATTGTGTGGTATGTCTGTAAATGCCCCCTAAAAAAAATTGTGAAGTGCTTCATGTCGTTAGGCGTAACACGGACTGGGCATTGTATCTAACCTATAAAGCATTTTTGCTTCGTGCAATTTTTTGGTATTTGTGTCTGTATAAACACACAATCTATAGATTGCATGTCCTCTTTTACTGTCTGAATATAACAATGAAATGTTATGGAAATGGCTCTCTGTTACATGATTGATAAAATTTCGGGGCAGTTACATACATACCACCCAATTCCTATATATTTACATATCTAACACTTAAACTTTATTTCTTACAATTATACCACCCAAATCTTTCGTATCACATAAAAAATACCATCATTTTAACTTTTAAAAAGTGATATGCACCTTTCCATTTATAGATAGGTGTTAGATATGTAAATAGATAGGAATTAAGTGACATATATGCAAATCTTCCTTAGATTTAATACACGGATTATGCATTATTCTTTAAGTGGCGCAGTTCTAAGATTGTTACATCTTGTTCTTACATTCTCTGCACTGAAACATTATTTCCTGCATTTCCTCTTCGCCATCAATCTACTTCCACATATATATTGAATTTTCCCGACTTTATAAAGTTTTTTTTTTACTCTCGTGTATCCATGCATGTTGGGTTGTTGTTTTCCAAGACTTGCGTAATGAAATTACCTAATTTACTACATGATTATGATCCTTTGATGTGGGACATCAAAATGTCCAGGCTTTCTAATGTAGATCTAATATGTGATGTCAAAAAATAATACACAACATATATAAATATTTTTAGGACATCAGCTATTAACCGAAACAGCCATTGACTACATTGAATGTGAATAATGTTAGAAATCCAGTTCTGGAAAACAGCATATGCTACATTTACTATTGAGGTTTCAGTGCAACTGACAGAAATTCATTTTATTTAAAATTTAAACTAAACACGTTCTCTCTTGAAAGTTGAAACTAATAATGGAAAAGTATCAAGATACGAAGTAAACCTCATATTTTTAAGAGAGGACTTTTATAGTGTTCTTGAAGTTTCTCACCTGATTGAAAGTAAAATAAATTACTAATAAATGAAGATTGTGTAATGCGTCTTCATTTTCACAATGTGAGTTTTCTTTGTGCCAAACGTGAGCCTATTTCATGCAGTTGAAAGGTATTCAAATTATAGAAAACTTAACTAAACTAAGTCGCACTTTCAAGCAAGAATGAAAAAGACTGGAGTTGAAAATCGCACTTTCAAGCAAGAATGAAAAAGACTGGAGTTGAAAAAATATCAAAAAAGAAAAGAAAATTAAAATCGATCAAAATGTCAAGTTTGGCTTCAGTATTAGGTGACAACCTCTCCTAAAATTGTTCAAGTCTCATTTTTGGTTAAATATTAAAAAAAAAAATCTTGAAATAGATGAAGATGTTTCTCCACATCAGCAGTAATAATCTAATTCATACCATAAACTATCCTATACAATTCAGAATTTGCATATTTATTGATGGGAAAATATGAAGCTGCTGTTAACAAATTACTAATAAACTGTTAATAAGCTGCTGGATAATTCCCATCTTATTGAATTACATAAATCAGAATATTTTTAATAAAATAGTGACTTCTAAATGGATTTAAAATAACTGAAATTTTCAACACAAAATTAAATTAAAAATTTATGCTCACATACACTGTTATATGTACCATATGCTTATTTTTGGGGAAATTATTTTAATGGCATTAAAGAGGTTAGATGATTTTGATTATGATTTGGATCTTGCACTAAAAGGTCATAACATCAAAATATGATTGTGTGGTGAATGGTGGTTACACAGAATTCTCATATGTTTTTATATGTTTTCTCTTCATTGGAGGATGACTGCTGTCCTCTTAATTATTGTAGACTTCATATTTGTCAACATCGTTGATTGTGATTCATGAAATAAAAAATAAAATTTGGATCAAATTCATTAATCTTTTGCGAGTTTAATGATTTATAAAACATGCAAATAAATGATCGAGTGGGGTGACATAAAAGCCTTCTTAAAAGACTAAATTTTTTAATAATTTCGCCAGTCAAAAACTTTCAATCTATGTTTCAATGTCATTTACATTACATCTTTTAATTCGGAGCAAGTTGTGTCTAAACACTTTGGAATCATGACTTCCCATGCAGTTGAGAGTAGGGTTGTAAACGAGCAAAGCTTGAGCGAGCTCAGGTTTGGCTCATGTTTGAAATTGCTGTTAAGTAGTGTGTTCATGCTCGACTCAATGTACATATTCTTGTTCGTGTTTGGTTAGAAATTGGCTCAAGTGATTTAATGGTTGTGATCTAACAATTGATGACCATCAAATTGAAATCTAATTTGGAGGCGGTTAGGACAATGTTAATTATTATTCCAATTATACTTGTACATCCATTCTTTTATATAATCTTCAAACTCAATTTAACATATGTTAATTATGATCTACAATATGAGAATTTATATGGACAATGAGTTTTCATTAATTTATGCGATGATTTAGGGTTTTTTTTGGGATAATTTTTTCACTGCTTTATAAAAATTGTGATAATATTCAGTTGGTTTGTCCCAATTTCTTTGCAGGTACAAGTGAGGATCCAGCGGATGAGAGCTCTAAATTCAGCCTTGTTAGAAAAGGAACTTGCTGTGTCTGCTGTGATAATCACATCGATTCCCTCCTCTACAGGTCTCTCTCCCTAACTTATTTTGATAAAAAAAATTTAAGGGAGATTTACATACATGCCACACAATTCTTATGTATTTACAAATCACTTATAACACCCATGCATGAAATTGTAACGGTGATAATATTTTTGATGTGATGTTTCGGATTCGAGTGGTGTGAATGTAGATATGAATGTTTAGGTGTTAGATATATAAAACACAAGAACTGTGTGATACGTATGTAAATGCCCTCAAAATTTAATTAGGCATTCCCATTGTTTTTTGAGGGGAAATTTACATACTACAATTATTTTGTATTTACATACATAACAGCTAAAGTACGATATATACATTTATAAAACTTTTGTTCATAATTCTATGAGTTTTATTATGAAATTTTAGGTGTTGGATATGTAAATACATAAAAAAAAAA